TTCCCAAAGTTGTGAGTGTAGTCATTAGTGAGTATAGTCATTCTGGTCAACCATTTCCTGATTTGCCTCCTCGCATTAATAAATACACGCATTTTCGTTTTGAGGTTTTGCACTCGCATTATTTAATACACGCATTAGTTTGTTGATTTACAGTACTTGAAGTAGAAGCAGTGATATTAGCAATCAGGCACTGGAATAGACCGATCCAGTCTCGGCCGATAAGCCCGCCCACTTCGTTTTTTACGTTAGGGGGGACAACCACTGGCAAATCACAATGGCGTCACCGCCGGCGAAACGTTACGTGATTGCGAACGTAGTTGATGAATTCTGCTTGTGATACTTTGGTATCCATCGTTTGTGAATGTTATTTAAAGAGGCAAGTTATACGTATGTGATTTTTAATATATTTTAGCTGGCAGATTACAACTGGCGAGTGAAAATGAGTTACATGCCCGCTGAAAAAGCGTCTCGACTAGCTGCTGAGACTGTAGGAAGCGTAATTTCTTTCGACTCAATTAATCTATCTGGCAATTCACCTCCGTCACAGATATTAGCAGGGAAAGGATAACTGAATTTTGTTGTTTGGGTTTATAATTTTTATAAACTCGTGAACACAACCACATGGTCATGTTGACATCGTTTGGTATCTATAAATAGATTATCAACACTGTGCGTGGCGCTTTTACTTATCCGTTTATGCGTTGTTCAAATTTAGTTCAATAATCTGAAAACATGGGTTTCTATCTTTTAATGAATTAAGAGAATGGTAAATAAAAGCAGAAAATATTTCCGTCTACTACTTCATGCACCTTATTTGTCTGTACAATTAATGTTAACAAATCAATCACAGCATAACCTATTTGATCTTATTTGGAAATCTGGAAAAGGTAATTGGGCTTGTAAACAATATGTTTCCATGGACGTATCTGGACATACCCAGAAGCAAATATTCAACAGCTGATCTGCAGCAACTCTCAGTAGAGTTTCTCTCTGTACACCATGATAAAATGACACTGAATATAAGGAAATCATTTTTTTAATCATCATTTCCATTTAATTTTTCTATATGTACTTTGTTGTGGAATTCTAATTTACATACAAACTTCCACAATACTGGACTTCATGAACTGCCAGCGTTTATGTACAGGTATGTCACAGCACCAGAACACAAAGAAGATCCAAGATACAGTCTGCACCTGTACACTAGCTGACCCATCTTCCAGAAATAGGAAACATGTGATGCAAAATTTTGGAACAGAGAATCCACAGTTATTCGAACAATTAACTAGCATTGAAATAGAATGTTACACAAAATACAAATGTAGATCTATTGCTTTTTCATCAGAGATGTTTAACTGCTAACTACTAGTGTAAATAAGGTGCAAAGAATATATCCTATGTTCAAAGCCTTCTGTCAATACAATTATTGCTTCTTAATTAAACAATGATAATCTTTGTTTTATTAGATCTGAGACCATATCCCTAGAGGACATAACACTGATTTTGATCTATTTCCTTTTCTGAGATACTTACTGGTGTCATAAAAATTATAGTAAAGTTGATTCAAAATTTGGTAAAAGTCATAACAAAGGTTTAGGAAAACAGACATGAAAATGTCCTGAAGCGTTCACCTCCTACAAACCTGTGTGCAATTTAATATGAAGCTCATTTTGCAAATAACCATCAACAAACCTTGAACAATTTGTCCAAATCCACCATCTTAATAAACACTAGCTTTGGCTCAGTCTTCAAATAGTAGTAACCTCCTAAAAAACTTATGATTAATCAGAAGAATTACATCAAATATGGGTTTAATATATGTTTCAATCTTTATTCCATTACATGAAAAGTCACCTGAGATTTTTGAAAGTTATTCTGTTCCAGGACTAGATAATGCCTGTCCAGGGTTTGACCAAAATGTAGCCTTTGCTTTTCAAATATTCTGGATGTTGAAATAACTTTAATGAGTTATGATACTAGCAATCACTTTCAGAATTATCTTATTAGTAAATGTAGTATTTAAAAAGCATCTAAAAGCAGGAGCCAAGAAACTAAGTTAATACCAAGTGATTGTCATGCCTTGATATGTATGGTGTTTGTTTGCCTAGTTCTGCCTTAAAATCTAAAAATCTGATATGTCAATCAATTAAATAATTATTTATTATTGATTAGATTATTATTAATTTTATTTCCCTTCCACGTTTACTAAAAAGCAAGATTCTGAAAACATGTACCTTGATATCATTTCCAGTGAATTAATCAAAATTACAGTTGTAATATTACTCCTAAAATGTACCATTATATGTGAATAATTTATGTGGTAACAAAACTTCAAATAATGTTCTCATAATTAAGATATACACTTTATTTCACTCTGTCCAATACTCCAGAAAGTCACTATTCTTCTCACATAGTTTTCGTATTCGATCAACCTGGAGGATGGTAATTCAGGTCAAAGTTCCATGCAATTCTTTATAAAAAATCTGAAATATTTAAAGCATGGTTTTATAGGCACTCATATGAACTAATTTTGATACTTGGATATTGCATGATAGGCAACTGCTGACACTGACAATATTTCCGTTTGAATAAAAAATATTACTCATCGAATATTTTGCTCTGTTAACAAGATACTGTAGGCCATCAGATTGTGCTTATGAAACTTAAAACATCCTAAAATGTGTGACAAATTGAAGAATATCTAAGAGCGAAGGGGACAATATCCGCCACATTGTTCTTTCATGTAACATGTTTTGCTATTTCGGTTGAACCTAACCGAAATGAAAATTTGTTTACATTGTGTCACGGCTTTCTCGCCTGTCTCTCTTGAGCTTTGTATGCGTACCAACTCAATGCCTGGTAGTGACTAAAAGCGTGAAGCAAAAACAATTTTGTAGTTACAAGAATTGTCCGTGTTTATAACACTTGCAAAGTCTTAAACTGCTATTTGTTGTCATCAATTGGTAATGATTTTGCACATGTGCAAAAGTGTGCAAATTCGTGCAAATTCTCATCAGCAGGCAGGCGTAGGTTTCCTGAACGATGGTGCAGACATTTAACTGATCGTCAGGCCTATCGCGTTTCTTGATCCGCCTCCATTTTTGTTGTCTTGACCGTAATGGTTTTGTTAAGGTACACATCAAATCGCAGCAATATGTAATAAATATAGCGAGTGTAAATGGCATAACTTTGAAGCACATCGCTTCGGATGCATCGTTTGACCCCGGAAATAAGTCTGACAAATCCACACAACGCGCCCGGCCTGCTGATTGGCCAAAATTGACGCATGCGCCAGTTTTGATTGACAGACTGGATCGGTCTATTCGATACTCAGGAACTCCTCCCTACTATGGCAGCACCGCAGTAGTGGTCTATATCAGCAGTTTCGGAGGCACCCACTCTCAAGACATTATGGATCTAACGAGAGAACTTTACAATCTGGCGGACAGTCTGCAGTGCCAGTGTTTGCCCTTAACCCTGAAAAGCTGCAGCCATTAAGGATCCAGACCATAAAAAGTTGTGGATCCTGATCAGAATGTGGAGGCCCTATATTTTAATATGGAAAGAATACTTTTAGTTGTTAGGGATGAAAAAGCTGTTGGCCATAAGAACCTACAGAAAACAAAAGCAGTGGGTCTGTGTGAGCTTCAGTGCAGTGTCAGTATACATCTCATGATGTTGACTACATAACCATGTGAGCTACAGTACAGTGTCAGTATACTTCTCATGATGTTGACTATATAACCATGTGAGCTACAGTACAGTGTCAGTATACTTCTCATGATGTTGACTATATAACCATGTGAGCTACAGTACATACATCTCATGTGTTGACTCAGTAGATACTTCTCATGATGTTGACTATATAACCATGTGAGCTACAGTACAGTGTCAGATATACATCTCATGATGTGAGCTACTATATAACCTCATGATGTTGACTATATAACCACAGTACAGTACAGTGTCAGTATACATCTCATGATGTTGACTACATAACCATGTGAGCTACAGTACAGTGTCAGTATACATCTCATGATGTTGACTACATAACCATGTGAGCTACAGTACAGTGTCAGTATACTTCTCATGATGTTGACTAAATAACCATGTGAGCTACAGTACAGTGTCAGTATACTTCTCAGTGTCAGTATACTTCTCATGATGTTGACTACATAACCATGTGAGCTACAGTACAGTGTCAGTATACTTCTCATGATGTTGACTACATAACCATGTGAGCTACAGTACAGTGTCAGTATACTTCTCATGATGTTGACTACATAACCATGTGAGCTACAGTACAGTGTCAGTATACATGTTGACTACATAACCATGTGAGCTACAGTACAGTGTCAGTATACTTCTCATGATGTTGACTATATAACCATGTGAGCTACAGTACAGTGTGTGGGTACAGTGTCAGTATACCTCATGATGGTTAAATAACCATTGGCTCGTCACACTCAGTGAAGACCCGGTTCGATTCCCCACATGGGCACAATGTGTTAAGCCCATTTCTGGTGTCCCCAGCCGTGATATTGCTGGAATATTGCTAAAAGCGGCGTAAAACTAAACTCAGTCAGTATATAACCATGTGAGCAACAGTACAGTGTCAGTATACTTCTCATGATGTTGACTATATTACCATGTGAGCTACAGTACAGTGTCAGTATACTTCTCATGATGTTGACTATATAACCATGTGAGCTACAGTACAGTGTCAGTATACTTCTCATGATGTTGACTATATAACCATGTGAGCTACAGTACAGTGTCAGTATACATCTCATGATGTTAGCTATATAACCATGTGAGCTACAGTACAGTTTCAGTATACTTCTCATGATGTTGACTATATAACCATGTGAGCTACAGTACAGTGTCAGTATACTTCTCATGATGTTGACTATATAACCATGTGACCTACAGTACAGTGTCAGTATACTGTATACATGATGCTGATTACATAACCGTGTTGATATTTACTTCATTGATAGTTACCATTACAGATGGAAGCCACATGTTCTTCACTGATGGTTGGAGAAGTTGCTAGACTCCTACAGCCCAGGTATCACTTCTCTGGCCTGAATGGAGGATTTTATGAAAGGCAGCCATACAGGTAAGAACAAGTGTTCTCTTTATACATACTCAATGGTTGCAACTAAGGCATGACCTTACAACATCATTATAGACTTCCCTTTCTGCACTAACACCTGTGTGTGTCTGAATGTATCACACAGAAGTACAGTTCAGTTGCCCAAACTTAAACCCAGACTGATCAGGAGTCTGCAAGTGTTTTACAGAAGCATAGATGTCCAGTTTTCACTCAGTGAATGCAATTTTTCTATCACATTGAGTGTTGTGGTTGATGATGACATTAATGTGTACTGAGGCAGTGAACATGTCTTAAATATGATTACACAATGCCATTTAGAAAGTGGTCAGATGTAACATACGTTATGTTTGGGATTACTCTTTCTTAGTAAAATACAGATTCTAGTACTTTTGGGGTTGAGTCCCATCCGGGATTTGAACCCACACCCTCACAGTCAGGCACCCAATTGCCAGCACACAAAGTCAGACCGCCTAACCCGCTCAGCCACTGCTGACTCAACCCAAAAAGTATGAGAATCTTTATTTTACAAAGAAAGTGTAATCCCAAATATAACATATGTTAGATGTCTTAAACAGTCTATTTTCTGATTCATCAAAAACCTTAAAAGATTTTAAGATATATGCAGCTGCTGAAGTAGTCTCAGAAGACAACATGTTCGTCAAAAAATCTCCCAGACAGATTGGCAAGAGTATGGAAGTCAATATCGGACTTGTTACACAACCATTCTCTTACTGTGTCATGTTTTCATTACACAACTCAACACATCCTGTCCCACCTTTTGACCGAAACAGTTTTTCCCTTTAAGTCCTACAAGAAAAACAAGAGCTCAGTCATCAGGATAGAGAATTAAGGCACACCTTTTAGCATCAAAGACATTGATCTGCTCTGTGGGCTTCACTGAATTTGTTCATTTAATGAATAGTGCACTGTGGTCATCACCATTTGTCCGAAAGTACAAAGTAGAATGGGTAGTATGGTACCATAATGCTTTATAGAACTGGTGGTGTAAACTAGTTATGAAAGTCATCCAGATAGGCTCTTCACCCTCCCACCATTGTCAACCATTCTCAGGACAGACGACAATTTTCTCTATTTTTTTACACCCAGTTATCAGCAAGAACAACTTCGAAGTGCTGTCTGGGCGGTGGGGTAGCCTTATGGTTAAAGTGTCTGCTCCTCATGCTGAAGGCCAGGTGTAGCAGGCCATTTCTTCCCCGGTCTAAATGTTCCCTGGGGAGAATCTGGCCTAGGCCAAACTTTCCCCGGGGATGTTTTGTCTTAGGATATTCTTACCCTGGGGAAAGTTTGGGCTAGGCAAATACCCCCTAGGCCAAAGTTTCCCCCCTGTTTAAACTAGGATATTTTTTTCTGTTTTCTATGAAAAGGGGGGAGATTCTGGGCCTAGCTAGGCTACTTCTTCCCGCGCGTTGTTCTTATATCAAAAGGGGGAGTTTCTGGCCAAGCTAGGCTACTTCTTCCACACCATTGCTCTTATATCAGAAGGGGGAGAACAAGTTATTACAAATATCAAACCGACCGTAATTTTTACTTAAAGTTTGGTACACATTTTTGCCATATAGTCCATTCTTGCCTCTGACTTGGGTGTACTGATTTGAATGCATACATGTTTGAATGGCATATATCTCTAAGTCCATCCTGCTTCTGCCGCCATTCCTATGAAGACACATTGCATTAGTTCTTCATTTGTCAAATCATGTCACCTTAAGATGTAAACATTCAAGTATATCCCGTATCAAATCTTATCTTTTGAATTTAGAATAAGGCACTATCGTGGAATGATAGATGATACAGCATTTGATATAGATATTGTGTTGGGTTGTTGTTCTGTTGATTTTTACGTCTGCTTTATGTCGCCAATGTGGATGCCATATTTAAAGCTGTGAGTGAGGGAATAAAGTTTTGAATGGATATGGACATCCAAGTAAAAACTGGGTTTTTAGTCAAAGATTTGATTATAGTAATGACTTTGATATAAGCCAATTTGGAATAAGTGGGGATAAGTAAATTATTGAAATTTAAATATAAGTAAATGATAACATAAAACAATAGTAATGAGATAATATATAATAAAATAAAGAAAGATTTTGTAATATTACATTATTTTTAATAATTTGGAATTAGGGTATTGTGTTGGGTCAAACATGATTATTTTTACCAGTTAGTGTTGGGAATCGGAAACTAAATCCACTATCGATTATCGGAGGATTGTGGTGAACGATTATCGATTATAATCGAAATATATACATTTTTAATATAATCACCAATTTTAACGGGTTTTTTCCCAGTTTTTTTTCTAATTAATTATAATGTTTGTTATATAACTAATGCTGTCATGCAATGAAATGCACGCATGCAAGAAAGACAATGGAATTGTAATTAAGCAATAAAAGTGATTAAAATTTTACAATGTGCATAGCTTTACGCTGTTGAGCACATGTTTGTTCATGAATATTTGTCAAATTTGATGGTTAGTTTACTTCATTCAAGGGTGTTATACAAAAACAACAAAATTCTGATTAATCGAAAATATGTTTTTTACAATCGATAATCATTTTTAATCCTTCTTTCGATCAATTTTTTTATTATTTTCGATCATCGGAACATCACTATTACCAGTGGTTGTTTATATTTTAGTACTCATGTCACAGAGATACATACTGATACAAAGCTATTTTCTTTAATTTTCTGTTAAGCTGATGGGTCTACTGCATACATTTCTGTACCTGTCCTAGCAGGTTGCACCTGGTGCAAGTAACTTTGTAATCTCAATTAGTTACACAGTCCGTTTGAGAATTCAAGCGTAAATCCGGACAGAATTGCAATCTAACACAAAAACAAATAGACATAAAAGACATCAAACCAACACGGACTGCAATAAAAACAACAGACCAACTCTAGAAAAAGAAAGCATAATTTGTGTCACAAAATTAAAAAAGTTGCTTAAGAAACTCTCATCATTTATTTGTGCGTTTCCAAGTTTGTTACAAGGGCACAGTGGCAACTAAAGGAACAGCGTGAAAAGCGAGATGCATGTGTATTAGTGACGTCAGAGACGTGTGATTACTGCTGATTGACAAAGTGAGAGAAAATGAAAGTCTATGATTTACAGAGTCTATGATTTCTTCTAGGATGAAAATGACAGGGGGTGACCCAAGTGTGCAATTACTAAGTACATACAGCGCACTGCCTGTGCAGCTGGGGTACGTGTCATCTCTCGCCAGCTCAAAACTTTGTTGAGAACCCGTTAACGCACGTGCATCTTGCTTTTTGCGCTGTTCCTTTAGTGCCACTGCGCCCTTGTAACAAACTTGGAAAATGCACAAATAAATGATGACAGTTTCTTAAACAACCCTCTTAAATTTGTGACACAAATTATGCAGTTTCTTCCTAGAGTTGGTCTGATGTTTTTATTGCACTCCGCGATGGTTTGATTCTTTTATGTCTATTTGTTTTTGTGTTAGATTGCAATTCATCGGTATCATTTTGTCTCAAACGGACTGTAGCTCATGATTATTTGATCATTACTGATATATAGGAAGATGAATGATGCAAAAGATTCATACTTTCTTTCATGAACATCTGCATCATTAACTGTATATACATGCTCTTACATACTTTTCCCCGGGGAAGGTTTGGCCAGGGAGAATGTTTGGCCTGTTACACCAGGTTCAATTCCCCACATGGGTACAATGTGTGAAGCCCATTTCTGGTGTCCCCCGCCATGATATTACTGGAACATTGCTAAAAGCAATGTAAAACCTCACTCACTCACTCACAGTACTGTCACCAAAACCAAACGCAGGTCTGTTTGTCTTCACAGTTAACATATAGTCTTTGTTGTTCATGGTTGTCTTCCTTGCTTGTGTTAGGGTAGACTAACCCTAAGTTCCCGAATGTATATAATTTTGATAGTAAGAAATAAACCCATTTAAATTGAAAAGGAGCCCCAGTGAACCTTGGGAAATCTAGTCTTGCTTCATTTAGGGCTTTAGCATTGCAGGTAGGGCAAGGCATTAGGGAAACTAATGTGATTCAGGGACTGTGAGACAGACTAGTATATTTAGTTTAGGGCACCCCTGGGAAACATAAAGGGGAGTTAATGCCTGCAGATTGCATTTTGGGGACCACAAGGAAGAAAGACAACATATGAGATTGGATTTTAAGTTTTAAACCTGTGCAGTCAGAAACAAGCCTCAGGCAAAAGGCAGTCAAGTGTTAGCAGTATTAATTGTTGTCATTGTTATTTTATGTGGATCACACAAACACTGATCACCTGATTCTAAGCAGTTGTTAGTAATGTAACTCACTGTCAATAATTCATATTTCAGGAATCATCAAATCCTAGCTGAGAGTAGCACACATGTTACCAGATTTATTGGACTTGCAGCCGTAGGCAATTTGAACAAAGATAAGGTAGGACACTAATGTTGGTAAGGGGCAAGAGGGGTAATGAGGATTACATTATCTGAAGGAATAAAGGTGTGCCAAAATTAAGGAAAAAGCAGACACAGAAGGTCAGTGTCACTAAATCAGGTATTATATGACAACTCTCTGATACAGTGTGATGATAGACAATTATCAACCCCAATTTGAAAGAAAATAGAATTTATTTTGCTAAATATCACTTCCTGAAAACAAATCCTATGGCCTTTATGAGAAACCCCAAAGGAAAAACTAGCAGAGTTATCTCCCCTGAATGCTCTCCAGTTCTGGCGTATATGTGTACAAAGCGCTATGGTCGACTTACATTTCATTGATCTGTTGACATGCGAAATTAGCAATTGTAAGTCTATAACAAAGTCAAAACTACAAGAATTTCTGCAAGAACATTATTTAACAGTGTCTGTTACAAAGGTACAGTTACTAGATAAGGTTCGAGGTGTCATTAATCAAGGTATTGATGATTTAGGTGAAAGACAGGAGCACACTTTACAACATGATGCAAACAGACATCGGAAAAGACTTTTAAGTCCATTGTGCAAAAATCTGCCCGATCCTACATTTTGGACAGGATGGAAATCAGGCTGTAGTTCATTTCCAGCTTAATTCTTCAAAGGCATTTAGAAGTTGGTGTAGTGATGTAACACAATTCTTATGGATAACAACTTCTTGATTTATTTTTGATTTATTTTACACAGCGTTTCTGGGCTAGTTCTTGCCCCTTCTTCAGGTGTATAATGATTGTTTCTGGGCTAGTTCTTGCCCCTTCTTCAGGTGTATAATGATTGTTTCTGGGCTAGTTCTTGCCCCTTCTTCAGGTGTATAATGATTGTTTCTGGGCTCGTTCTTGCCCCTTCTTCAGGTGTATAATGATTGTTTCTGGGCTAGTTCTTGCCCCTTCTTCAGGTGTATCATGATTGTTTCTGGGCTAGTTCTTGCCCCTTCTTCAGGTGTATAATGATTGTTTCTGGGCTAGTTCTTGCCCCTTCTTCAGGTGTATAATGATTGTTTCTGGGCTAGTTCTTGCCCCTTCTTCAGGTGTATAATGATTGTTTCTGGGCTAGTTCTTGCCCCTTCTTCAGGTGTATCATGATCATAGTTAGCAGTATAGTGTATAGTCGAGCACCATTGTCTCCATATTCATGGGTCGAAGAAAGAATACTGAGTTATCCGAACTTCGAGACTTCCAACCAGGCCCTGATTTCTTGAAACAAACTTAAGTCTCAGTTTTGACTTAAGTTAGAGTTTTGACTCAAATTTGAGAAAACGCAGGGAAATGCATTTCTCAGAATGAACTGAAATCGATATCAAACTCAAACATAGTAGACAATTTGAGTTTGGTAGATAGATTACTTAAGTTGTTTGGGCTTTTCATTTTAAAAATGCAGTTGAGTTAAAAATTAAGCTGTTCAAATTGTCAAACTCAGTTTGAAATTTGAGTAAAAACTTTAGTTTGTTTCAAGAAATCGGGGCCAGGGCATATAATTTTATAGCCCTACAACACAATAGCTTTCAAATTAACTTCTAATCCGTATTTCTCAGCCCGCAATTTAGAAACAACTCAACAATCACATGCTATTCAAGTGATTACAGAAACCCTCATTGGATTCTCAGTATGTTTTGATTCGAAACTACAATCCGTTATCAGTAGTGTTTAGTTATAACAGTGAGTACTTCTTAATTAATTCCTTCTTAATTAATCCTAATAAATAACAAACAAGTGACACCTCAATTAGCCCATGCTGCACCGTGTGTAAACGTGTGGAGACAACCTCAGTTCAGATGGATACTTGTCCATGAAAAGAGGGGGAATATCGAGTTTCTTTGCAGATATCGAGTTAAAATTGTAATTTTGCTTGTTGGGACCATGAAATTATATCGTGATATCCAAAATATTGAGACATCCATATCGAGTTAAAAGAGCTTGAATAATGATAAATTATGAAGGATTTTGCCAGGACCGAGATGTTATATTGAGAAAAACGAGATATCGTTTAATCAGAGTTCGACACAATGGTGCTCGACTGTATATATATTGATGTACAGGATGCCAGGTATGAAACTTTAGTATATACAAGCGCAAGTTAATTTTTCATCTGCCTTTAATAATATTCAACCTCATTTGTTAAGTGATAAACCTTTCAAAATGAATGTTAATTCTAACATCATCAAACGGATTAATTCATTTCTAGTTAACAGACAACAATTTGTCCAGGTTGCGTTATTTCACCAATTTTATCCCATCACCATCAGCAGTGAAGCATGCTACAAGAAAACCGTAGTCAACCTCAGCTCCAAACCATTGACCACTGAAGTGGTGTGACTTTGTTATTTGGACATTTAAAGGCATATCCTTAAGGCATCTAAATGAAGCTTTTCTAATAATAACTCTTGTGTCTCTGTACAATTATTCCAAATATTCCAATTCTAGAAAAAAACTAAAGATTCTGTTTTATTAGGGTTAAAATCTGCCTTCCATGTCTTGGCCCATTTTGCTATTAATTATAGATCATCATTTAGCATATTGGCATGCAAAAAACATAGACCTCCATGATCTGTTTAAAGAATCATCTATACCTAAAGTATGTTTCCATTGAAGGAATATTACAATATGAAGAAGTGTAGAACGCCCTAAAAAATATGAAAAATGATAAAAGTCCTGGTCTGTCCGGATTTACGCTTGAATTCTTGCAAGTATTTCTGGAAAGATATCCATCCATATTTTCTTGATCAACTCACTAAACCAAGCCTATTTAAAGGGAGAACTCTCTACCAGTCAGGAACAAGGTCTTATTACATCTAGAACAAATAAAGATAAATCCCCAGAATACATTAAAGGGGCACTGATCCAGAGCAATTTCCGTGGACTGGTTGTTGCTTTTGTTATTGTTATTCTCCCGTGAGTACCCGGATGATATCCCAGAAATCTTGACTGGTCCGTGACCTCTGCTGCACCACCTGCATGTGCAGTTGATAGTATAAGTATCGATTGATCAACAAAAATGAAATATTTATTACTCGATATTATTTCAAACTTCATTTTTATGATAACAAATGAATTTTTTTTTACGTTTGACCATCTGCCAGTGGTAAAAACTGTTAGAGCTGATAAATAACGAAGTCAATGTACATCTTTATATTTTGTCTTATAAACCTTTTGAAACTTTAATAAATAGCATACGATCTGCTTATACTTATAGTGAATTTATAACATGATTAATATCTAGACATTTCATAGATTGCCAACGGAATCATATTTCACACACGCCCTAAGTGCGACCTAGTGTATGTTGTCTGTCTTATTACACTTCACGCCGATAAAAAAAATGATTCTGTTGAATGCAGTTAGGGTGGCTACTGTACATTGCTGTATCAAAGCTAACATCGATCCTGAGGCTCCACTTCATCAATACTTCGTTCGACACCTGTCACAGGATGATGTTCAAGACAGGGGCATCAAGGCCCAGCAATGCGTTCCTCCAGCGCTATCTCAGTGGCAGGAGCTACTAGGCTTTTTGATGTCGGCTCAAGCCCCAACTTACAGAGGGTAGCTTCAGCTTCAGCCATTATAGCAATTTCTGCGATTTTATTCAGGCTGTTAATCCCAAGGAATTGTTTTGTCTTCCCGAACCACCTTGTCCCGTCCTTCAATGGTGACTAGACGAGCAGAATGTTGTCCTTCGCTCCGCCTCTCCATTTGTTCCTCTACACATCCCTCAGGAGTCGGGGAAATTACTTCTCGACCACCAAGTGGCCCAGCTGTGGTGATCTGACGAACAGGTTCTTCACCGGGTACCCGATGGGATAAAGTCTTGTGACTATAACCTTCTAGCACCTAACAGGGAGCTTGGGTTATCTGGGGTAATAAGAATCAGATTCTGATTAAGCGCCGCGAGCAATCACTTGGTGTTTGGAGACTGTGCGCTATAGAAGATGACTTTATTATTATTATAAACTAGCTGGAATTAAAGGCAGTAATTCGAGCTGCCTTGCTTTGAACGACAGAGCTTCAATCAACCAGTTGTTGATCCAGTCGGACAACTTGACCATGGTTTGGAATATAAACTATCTAGGCTCGACAGGCTCGGTGAATCTCCTACAGTGGGCGATCAGACTTTTCAATATCATCAACTCACTCAACATTGTAGCCACAGTAAAATGTGATCACTGATGCCTTTTCCTGATCCAATTGGCTGTCCCCTACAGAGTGGAAGCTGCTTCCCCATATCTTCCAGTAAATGATCTACCTTTTATCACGGCCCCAAGTAGACCTATTCGCCACAAGGTTCAACAACCAATTCTTGAGTTTGTATCATGAATCCCAGACCCCCGGCTTGTGACCTCAACGCACTGACAATATCATGGGAGGGTCTCAACGCCAATGCGTTTCCTGCTCCAGCTCTGCTACCATAAGTATTACAGAAGCTCTTGACCACTAGCAAGGTTCTACTGCTTTTCGTCGCGCACTTGTGGCCAGCAAGTAGTTGTTTCATCGACCTAACAAGCCTGGCAGAGCCAAACTCAGCACCGCTTCCCCGACCGGGACAAACTGCTTCTTCACCCTCACTCGGAACTACGCCACGGGTCCCCTCAGACCTTTAATCTCCATGTTGGCGCATCTCCAGAGATTACTCATTGCTAAAGCTACTCTTGTCAAGTAGCCACAGCTATCACTTCAGCTCATCGTACCTCGAACTGTTCCTTGTACGCCGATAGTGAAAGAAGTTTGAAGACTGTTGCAAGAATAAGGGAAATCCATCTCCCAGTCTGCCTCTGCTCTTGTCGTTGCTGAGTTCCTCCAGCATCTCTGTGCCACTAGAAACTCAAGGGTACTACCTTAGCTACCTAGTTGGCTGCTATCAACTCGGTTTTGGCTACTACCACAGAGCCTTCTACGCTCCTACAACTCACTGACCAGCCTGGGCCTCCGGCCTGGGAACTGTCAGTCGTCCTTCGTCATATGATTCTATAGA